AGGCGCGGCCCGCCGCCCCCGTGCCCGACATCGGCACCGAGCGCACTGTGCGTTCCCTCACCTGCACGTATTCAGTCTTTGTTAGAACCCCGAAAATATTGTTGAAAAAAATTTAAATGTAGTTGTTAAAGACCAAAAGTTGGAGCAATTATATTACTTTGTGGTTACTTCCAATGGATTATTACGAATTCTATAAGCAATTTTGTATGTTTACACTAAATATTGGTGATTATTTGTGTGATTCCTCCAAATACTAATTAACATGCATGCGAAACTAGAATAACTTATTCACCAAACTGAATAACGATATCTAACACAGTGACAGCAATTCACATTTTCAAACAAAAACGAGAATCAAATAACAAAACTGAAAATTAAAAGAGGTGCATCAATCGCGGCACTTTCACACTGCCTAAGTAGCGTTACCCAATATCCAGGAGAAGGCTGGTATCCGTGCTGGTGAGAATAGTGGTGGGCCCCCGGCGTCGTGGAACCTTGCGATCTTGAGTGTCCATAAATGAAAGCTTGCTTAGTGCCATGCGTCGAACCCACGTGCAGCGGGTACGAACACGGAAGCTCTTCCCGTTGCCTTAGAGCCTCAAAAATAGGCCTCAGCTGCTCCATAAATTCTTCAGCTAAACGTACCAATACAAAACCGGGACTTTCATTAAGGATGGCAAGGGAAACGCCCATACAATACAAATTCTTTCATAGTGCCAATCGTTTAAACGCAACGCGCAGTTTACGATGTTACGACGGGGTGCCGATTATTTAACACGCTTGACGAACGCGAATCATTTGGTGAACGGGATATGAAGGATTAAGCGGGAAGGATAAACGAGATATTTACCGTGAAGTCCGTAGGCGTTGCCGTGCCACCTCGCCAATGCGGTGTTTCCAATGGATAGGTACAACAAACAACACCAAACACTACACGAGCTTCATATAGCCTTGAGCACACCAATGCAATACGACCAAACGCTACCAGCTGAACACATGCTGCGCTGCACGGACGTGCCACTTGCAAATGGATGTGGAAATCCATGTACAAAGGGCAACAAAAAAGCAAAAACAAAATAAACCCCAAACCGATTGCTCCCTCTATTCAACTACTGTGCAAAATGTTGTGTGCGAAATTACAGCTATTGTCTAACCTGTAGAAAGGAATCTTAATAAATAGTCGTAGCAATCGTTAGCTACTTACCTTAGTGATGGGTCCAGTGGAGGGTGGCGTGTTTGTGTTAGAGCGGGGCGTACGCGGGCGGAACGCTGCCATGCTCTGAGACACGCCATCCGCCAGAATGAACTGTTCCCGCAGTTCGATGTTCGTGCGTCCCTTAGCTGCATGCGGGCGGCGTCCAGTGCGTGGGATGCAAACAGGGTAAGGACAAGGACGGGCACGGACACAACGAAAACCATTCGGTAAAGGGAAAGTAAAA